GCTGCTAAAATTTTCGAAGAGCAGTGATGGTTAGATAAGATCAGGGGCCGGTTGTATCAAAGGCGTTTAACTCGCTAACCACCGTTTAACTCGCTATCCGCCGGATAAAATTTAAACGCTCGAGAAATCGCGTTGTATCAAGCCCGTTTAGCTATCCACCGGTTAAATTTTGCCTATCCACCGTGTAAACTTATATACGGTCTCTTGAGACCGTTTAAATCGCTATACGGCGGATAAACTCGGAGTTTGAAGATAAAACAATGATTACTTCGGATGAAAAAGCATGGGATAGTTATAAAAATGCACAATCATGTGGAGGAGTTATCTTTTTAAATCCAATAAACATGAAAAACTCACTTTTAACTGGCTTGGTCTTGAGGTGCACTGAGGTCACTTGCTCACTTGTAATTCCGTGGCTTTGCTATATTTACGCACACCAGTGTCATGTTTAGATGTTAAGTATATATACTCTGGCTTTTTCTCCTTCTTTTCTTCTATTATATAGTTTGAAAACAAGCAGTAAGACTCCCAACTTTAGCTATTGTAAAACAAACAATGACTTTGGAAAGCCAACAAGCATACAAAATAGACAACAAGACGCCGAAAGTCGAAAAAAAACAAACTGTTCGCTCGCGTTAATCGCTTTGATCAGCCAATCAAAACGTGGTTCAAAATGTTCTTAAAATTGTTTTGTACAAAAGTGCAAGGTCGAGGAACAAATTTCAAACAGTATAAAACTGATTAACTGAATCAACTGACAAAAGCCAAATACAACTCACAGTTTTTGCTATTGCCTTCGACTCTTCGCATAAAGATGCCAAAAATCTTTAAAGAAATATCCGTAAGTGAATTTAAGTGAATGAGAAACTCAGCACAATGTGAAAATGAAAAGTTTGATATAGATTTGCAGCAACGAATGGACGAGCAAACTCCAAATAAAAACAACAACAAACTTTATTGCAAAAGCTTAGTGGAATTCACAAGTTAGATAAAGCTTCAAAAGTTTACAAAGGCCTAGCAACAGCTGACGTAGAGGTAAGAAATTTCAAGAAAATCCGGTTTTCTCCAGTTAAATTAAAGGTTATCCTACGGATAGTTAAACGCGGTACTAAACGGGCTTCATACAACGCAATTTTATCGGCTGTTTAACTATCCGCTGGATAAGAAATTTATACGCTGGATAGCGGCTAAACACCGTTTAAGTAAAACGCCTTTGATACAACCGGCCCCAGGTAATTATCTGTTGTAATAACTTGAACAAGGTGGGGGTCCAGTATAGATCGAGGTTGTAGGAATAACACAGTGTAAGTAAAACGTTTCTTTCAACCAGCTGAAAGAAAGATTCCGAGTTCAGGTTGAGCGAGAAACCTATATACCCACATCGTGTTAATCATCTGTTGGCCTTTGTTCCGATTTGCGACTTCATGCAGTTAATTAGATAACATGTTTACCCTAATTATTTGAAGATCAAAGGCGATGGAAAACAGAAACGGTCTGTACCAGAGTGGTAGTACCAATGTGAAATTTCTGTGCTGAGTGGTTATATTACTATCTGAAATAAACGAGCAGAAACTCGACGTTCCGAGCGAAGGCTACTAACTCTTGACGAAGGGCCTTTGCTCGAAACGTCGAGTTTCGGCTTGTTTGTTTCAGGTAGTAATATAACCACTCAGCGATGGTGATGATGATAGTGATGATGATGATGATCATGGTGGGTAACTTTTGGATCGAGTCAGAGTACTGATGACGGTTTCACTGAAGACATTTTGGAGAGCAGTGATGTTTTGATAAAGAGCAAATTACTCAGTCTGAGTCAGGTAATTTGTTGGTCTTGTTCCGATTTTCGTCTTAATGCTGTTGGGCAACATATTTAAATTTAATTGAGTGAAATTAATGAATAAAATCGTGAAGCATAAAGTATTGTATTTGAAAGATAATTATGATATTTTAATGAAAATCACAGTACCCGATGTTGCATATTTAAAGGGAATAAAACGTGCAAACCATAGATAACCCCCCCTAAAAATTGATAAATAACGATATGCGTGTTCTAGATGTTTACAGGGCCGTACGCAGAATTTTTTCACCAGGGGGAAGTATGGCCTATATGCCGAAAAAAGTCCCAAATATTCGAAGAATAATTAATATAATGACATTCTAAAAGCCGTAAATATAGTTTTCTCTAGGTGGGGGGGGGGGCAGTTTCCCCCTGTCTCCCCGCTGTGTTCGGCCCGGAATGTTTATGATTATGATAATATTTAAAGCCTGGAAAACAGATTTGCGAACGTCATGCAATTGCTGTAGTATAAAATAACATCATATTTTGAACAAGTTATTGCAATGTTGGCTTGGAAGTGTTCCTGGCCAGGGTTCGACACGGTAAATTACTCAGAATGTTTGGAAAAAACCATTAAAATGCACAAAACATAAAAATATCATATATTTTTAAAACACTCCGATGTCATCTTGTTTCAGTTCAACCCTTCTTTCGCACATTTCATAATTTTTGTCTTGTCCTGGTTTCTGTCCTGGATTGAGATCAGTTTTTATCTGCGCGTGCGCATTAAGTGTTTTGTGGTCAAGCGCATGCGCATTTGCAACACAACAATGGCGGTTCACGGATTTCGAAATACGACGAAGCATGAACTTTGGAGAGGTTGTACTTCAATTTGTGCAACTATTTCGCTTGGGGGGAAGTGGTTTCTAACTAAGTAAGTTCTAATCTATAGATTCATGTAAAAATTATGTAGTTACACGAGGGATGCTACGGAATTGAACATTTTCGGCCCTCATCCAACGGGCATGTAGTAAAACACTGACTACCGGGACACCGGAACACCACCGGAACACCACCGGAACACCACCATTTTGTTTGGGGTTAGGGTTAGGGTTAGGATTAGGGTTTGGAGTTAGGATTAGGGTTAGGGTTGGGGGTTTGGGTTGGGGTTAGGGTTAGGGTTAGGTGGTGTTCCGGTGGTGTTCCGGTGTTCCGGTAGTCAGTGTTTTACTACATGCCCATCCAACGGCCTACTTTCCAACATTTTTGCTTTCCAAACCTCTTTACAATTTTTTTACAAAATTTTTTCAGAATTTTTTAGTAAAAGATGAGGTTGTATCACACCCTGTCAAAGCGTGAAATCCTAAAATATTTTCAATAATGGGGGCTGATAGGCGTTCAGTAATTTCATGAACGGAATAGCACTTTTCGTTGTTTTACGGTCCCTGCAGTCATCCATGTTTCAACGTCCTTTATCGTACCGAAAGGCAAAAAAATAAACTAAAAGCAACCAAACATCTGTATCCCTACAGCGTACTATAAGACCCTGTTAAAACTCTTGGAAACCGCATCACAAGCATGCAAAATCATTTCATATAATCACGGAATAGACAAGGACAAAGTGTAGAAGTATCCTGGCATTTTGTTTTTCAAGTAGCTATACTGGAAGCAAGTCGCCCTCTCGTTTTGACGATGAACAATTCATGTTGTCAATGACTTGGATATTAAATAAAGTTATACCAAACCAGTTTTAAAGCTTAAATTATCTAAAAAACTAACGTAAGTATAAACAAATTGAACTAGAAATGACTCGTATTAAAGAAATAATTATTAAATTAGTTGAAAAATGTAGTAAACGTATTATTAAATGTCAAGGATCAATTCAATTCGTTCGCCTGTGTCTGGACTTTGGAGTAACGCCAACTTTCGCTCAAGTTGAACGAAAGAAAGCAGCTAGATGGAAAAAGTCTACGAACAACTATCAGAAGCAGGTTGTTCACGAAGAGCTGAGATTAAAAACCTCCCAATTAGAACATCTCAAACAGGAGATCCGCCATGCGTATAAAGTTATCAGGAACAACTGCTCTACGATACGGTTCATAGCCGTTATTCAAGCACTTTTAAAAAGAACTTAAAGGAAAGCAGTACGCCGAAATGATGAAGTGCCATGTAAACAAGATTTCCCGTTTGATCTCGAAGAAAATTGATGTTAACAAACTTATAAACAATTTGTCTTCTTATCACCTATCTTTCTTTGAGAAACTTGTTATCTGTAGAGGCCTTAAGTTTTCATTACCGCAGAAAATGTCACCTATTGAAGTTCTAACCAGCTTTGAGAAAGGCTTTTGGAAGGCAGAACCGTTGCTGCAAGATCCCGCTTTAAAAGAATTGGCGAGTTCAACGTTCTATCGCTTTAAATTACATAGAACGTGCAAACCCAAATCCACCTAAAGCTCTTGTTAAGGCCCTAAACCAATTAAAGAAGCGTGACGATATTGTTATTACCAAACCTGATAAAGGCTCCGGAGTAGTTGTGATGGATAAAAGGGAGTACATACGTTTGCTTCGAGCTGCTTCAGTCGATGATATTTCCAAGTTTGAACCTGTGTCTGACCAACGACCAAAGACGCGTGGCCGACCACCTAAGTTTTTCCATCCACTATTTGAGAGAGAGAAGGAATTAAACAACCTATTGCATAAGATTTTACCTAAAGATTTAGCAGATTCACTTTCACCAAAGAGTTCTCGTCTCGCCCACCTATATGGTCTTCCTAAGACTTATAAACCAGTAATAAGTATGAGGCCCATCATGTCCGCAACAGCTACGTATAACTTCAAACTAGCGGAATGGCTGGATCAGAAACTTAAACCTCTGTCTGTGAACGAATACACTATAACGTATTGCCTCAACTTCTCAGAAGAAATCCGCTCTTTATCCTTAAAATATGACGAAATATTAGTATCGTATGACGTGGTAAACTCTTTACAAATGTACCATTAAAAGAGACTATCCAAATTTTAGTTGATAAAGCCTTCATTGATGACTGGTTCAATAAGACACACGGTATGAATCTGCAGCGACATCAACTAGCTGAATTGCTCGAAATCGCCACTACAAATCAGTTGTTTCAATTCAATGGTCAGTTGTACAGTCAAATTGACGGTGTAACTATGGGATCTCCCCTTGGTCCCCTAATGGCAAACACGTTTATGTGTCACCTAGAAGACAAGCTAAAACGTGATGGTATGATTCTAGAATTTTAAAAAAGATTTGTAGATGATGCTTTTAGTTTAAGAGCTGAATCCCAATAAATGATGCATTGCACAACCCACCTTACAGAAAAGGTTTGACACTTGATTCTTATAGAACAATATATGCTTTTTAACATGAGATACTTTGTACTATCAACTTGTGGTATAGGTGTCGAGATATCGGGGGTTATTAGCCCCAGTATGGTGGAATAACATCAGAGCGAGGCTACGTACCGCGAGGCCCATAGATTGGTTGGCTTTAACCAAATCTCACGAAAAAGCTTTCGTATGAATGCGCTTTCACGGGGCTTTCGAACAAATGTGAGCAAGTAATCATTGTGTCACGTGACAAATCATGTGATCTAAAAAATACGGATTTTTGGTCCGAATTTGCTGGAAAACCCTTGAAAACGCATCCTTTCAAAAAAAATAACCCTCAAAATGTATTTATCAAGCCATTTTAACATGCTAAGACGAATAAAAATACAATTCAAATTATAAAATGATAAAATATTGTTAATATAAAGGTTCAGCCACCCTATATGAAGTATATAACGGTTAGATCGCAATTGGGTTCTGCATTGGACGAAGAGCTGTCTTCCAGATATATGTCTGGAAGTAATTGGCTCTTTTAATGTGATGTGATAGACTGTCAGATGTGGGAGGCAGATTGTCGCTTGTCTTGTTCTTCCGACAGAAGAGGAAATGCCGTGCATCATCAGTTTTAGCAATTTTTTTGGCAGTGGTATACAAAGAACATACAAATACCTCACAAGATTGGAGTTGAGATTCTTGAGTAAGGGGCTCTTCACCTAGGCTGGCGAGTTACTGTTGTGCTTGGGAATCATTAACCAATATCTTCCAAGACTTCTTCTTGCCAATACCTGAAAAAGCACTCGTTGTATCGCATCCTGTCAATGCATGGTATGCTGGCAAGGCTTTCGAGAGCAAAAGACCAAGGGAGGATTGTAATGAATGATTTGGAATGAATCTCGCTTTGTCTTTTAGTCCTGTCTGGAACCATAGCTCACGGCATCTGATATTCTGAAAATGAGCAACACATAACACCGCTACATCTGTATCAGGGGACTGAACAACAACTCTTTGATGAGTGTTTGAAGCATGTTTGGCGTGCAGTAGAAGTCTTGTGTGTGCTTCTTCCTGGTCGGAAAACAAAGATGAAACACTGGATGAATTTCCGCGGATACACGAAACCGTTTCTCTGCCATCTTTGAATCCTCCTGCTATGACAACATTCTGCCGTGGGTGCAATTGTGTCTTCAAAATGGTACGTAGAGACTCACATAAGAATGTAGCTAAATTCTGCTTATTCTTTGGATTTGATATGAATTTCTTCCACTGCTTGGGAACTGGCGTATTTTGATTGTGAATCTTAATCTCCATGGACAAACCTTCTCCTCTTTCTTGGCGCTCTGCTGCTTTGATAGACATGGCACGGTACTGGTCAAATACGAGGTCTACGCGGCTACAGTTGTTCTGACTTAATACCCGAGTTATAATGTCGAAGTATTTACCTGCCATCTCCCCAAACGTTGCTGCTCCTGCTGACTTAACCATTTGAATCAATGCCATGGCATCGATGATAACAGCTGTTCGCAGTTCCGATACAGGTAATCTAGAAATGGAGTCGACATTTCTCTCCAAAATCGGCATCAATGCGCTCTTGGCTGTCTTTCGCATAGTCCCATCTGGATGTACAAGGGAGACTGGAACACAGGACAATTCGTAGCTTAGGATCTCTTTAAGGTTGATATCTCTTGTTTTCGCCACTACGAGCAGTCGTCCGAAGAGCTCACGGTCAGCATTCAAAGTTACGACTTTTCCTCGAGTCCCTTTTAGAGATATCGTTCGCGTAGTTACTTTAAAAGTGTCAATCTTCAGCTTCTTAAGAGGGTCCAGCAACAAACTTTATTGGTATCAAGCCTTGCGTTGATGAAGTCGTGCATACTAGTTGTTCCAATCTGAAACGCATTTACCAAGCGATCTGCAACTTCGTTAGGTACAACTACTCCTGTTGCAATATTGCTAAGCGGAGTGTCGTCTGCGTTGTCCTCGTTTTCAGTTACAAATGGGTTATTTGCTAAGCCAGTGGTAAAACATGAAAAAAGCCGCTGGACATCCTTCTCATCTCGCTCTATACGCGTAAAACTAGTTTCCTTGTGTGTTCCTATCTTGTCATTCTCCACGCCACACATTTCTTTAAGTGATCTTGTAATGGCTGCACGTTCATGACTTATCAAGAACCACCGATCAACTGCACCATCCTGTTGGGTTATGCCAACCAAACCTTCTTTTGATTTTGAGTCGCAGTTAATTGATTGCTCAAGTGCCATGTCAGACCAAACTTGACCAAAGGGTTGTTGTGAGCGACTAATACTATGGTTACCAGCTATGAACTCAGAATAAACTTCTGGATGCTGCTCCTGTAGTGAATGCATGTCTGCCAAGTATACGGGGAGCCATCTTGCATAATTCACTCTATCCATGGCGTAGAAATAGGGTAGCATCTTAGCAGTGGAAGACAAGTGTAAGTTCCAATTGCCAGTGCGCTGTGATTTGACTTTTCCTTCATTTTCAAATTCTTTGAATAGATGCACCAGTGCACTTAAGCCATCTTTTAGCGAATGCCAGTTTTCTTTAAGGTATTCTTCCTTATTGTCGGAATCTTGGCATTGGTTGAGTAACTCGAGGGCTTTCGTCTTTGAAATTTCATCTAAGCCTTGCGCGGTTTCTTCAAGCCAACTTGCAAACGTTTTCCACATTAGTCGAAACAGAGCCTCGAAGCAAAGTTTGTGGGCTCGTACTCCACGATTGTATGACTTTCCTGCTACCAATGCGGTGGTAGTTCCAGGCGCATACACTCCTGATTCAATAAGAAGATCTTCCAAACCAGAGTTTGAATACATCTTTCCAAGGAGCGAAAGATAATTTAAAGCTATGTGAAACCCTCCTAAGCGAACTACGACATTCTTGAACTCACCCGGGTACCTCATTTGAAGCTGCTTTGCCTTAACGTAACTTGCTAAGTCAAACGTTACTACAGATTCGGACTGTCCAAGAGCATTTGCCATCTTCAACGAGAGTTTCATGACCGTGTTGATTGTACTGTGCTCGTTTGCATCTGCCTGGATCATAGGAAGGTAGCCAATTGAAGTAGGCGTTGAAGGATCCGAGAATCTGAGGGACTGAAATCCACTCCAACCTGGAATCTTCTGAGCATCAACCGTTTGATAATTTTCTTCAAACATAGTATTGGAACACATGCGTAGGATTAGCAATACCAAGTCGTCTTGACAAGCTGAAAGGAAATTATCATTTGGTTGTAGCCAACTTGCATTTGTCATCTTATTAACGTAATTCGTAACGGCTGGACGTCTTCTTCCAACATTGATATCCTCTACCGTCACTATAGGTCTTGACGAATCTAAGGACCTTTTCCGCTCTGAGTGATCCACGTAGATTTCCATGGGTGGCGTTGCGGGTGCATGTTGTTTCCTTTGGAAAGCAACGAAGGTCGTCGCATGGGTAGTGTTCTTTCCATCGATGGTTTCCTCGTTGAAATCATTATTATCTGCTGCCATATGGACAAACACACCAGGTGATATGTTTGATGGAATGATAACACCTCCACTCAACTCTGATCTTGCGATTGTTTCATTAGCGAGGGCTGTTTCCACAATTTCAGTTTGTTCATATGAGCAACAATGTCGCATTCGGTTTAGCAGAGTTATGAGCTGCTTCGACCTTGTTAGATGTTTAATAGTTATACCTAACGATACATGCTTTGGAAGCTTCACTCTGGCGTTACTTGCAGCGTGTACGACGTCTTGGCATATCATTAGTATCTTCCTTTCATGTGAGACATTTGAAGCTTTAGGGCTTTGGTCAGCAGCGTACACCTCCGAGGATACCATATACCTCACCAACCAATACAGATTATCAGGAATAAGTGCTCGCGCCTTCTGTATGTGCAAATCTTCAAGAGATAAGGGATCGATTTTAATTCCCTTGCACGTGCTTAAATCATTTCTGATAATGACTGCTACTTTATAGATTATCTTAATTGATTCTTTTGGATCATCCCTTATGAATTCATTCTGAGCTGCAACTGAAGTTGTGGTGTTCTCGGTTGTTCTCGCAGCTGTGTTAATAACATCAAGAAGTGATATGGAACTAGAGTAAACAATTTCTGGTTTTGTGCTCCCATGTGGTTGGTGAAACACAAGACTGTCGTTGAAGACTAACTTTAAACGTAATTTGAGCTTTTGCCTGGTGTAACTATCGGCATTTACATCTCTCTTGGTTAGCATATCCTTGTACAATTGTAGTAGGTAATTCATATTGTACGCTTTTCCCTTCAGGATTTCAGGTCGTATTATGTCAAGGAACTCAGCAAACGCATCCTCGTATTCGTTAACAGGTTTTCCATTTATACACTGCGATTTGATATTTGCTTTGCTCACATATGATGCATGGCAAGACTTATGATATACTTGCCTTCACTAGCAATTAGATCAACAGTTCGTAATACAGGCAGTAGCTCTTCATCGCCTCTGGCCTCAGCAGCTGTTCTAATGCTATTGCACGCTTCAAAAGTCACAATATTGATTAGTTTAAAATCCCTTTTGCGAGAAGCATTCCGACAAAAGATACACTTCGTCCAGTCAATCAATGGACGGTTTCGTTGCGATTTCAAACTCACTTCACTTACTTCATTCACTTGAGGAGAACCCGTTTGACTCGTTGATAGGCTATGTAAATTACGCTCACTAGTGTAGGATGCGTAACATGAATTATGCCACAAAATCTCTCTGGAAGTAAGATTGTCAATATCAGTATGCAATCTATCAAAACAATCATCTTTGCGAATATTTGCAGCAAATATAAACTTTTCAATTGATGGAACTTGTGCTTTTCTTAAACAATCATGCTTGTTCTTTTGTTGACAAATTATACATTGTTTAAAATTAGTAAGTTTTTTTCGTTTGGCAGGAAGCAAATGAACTCCATCATCTATCTGCAAAGCAAATTAGCCTTTATTGAATATACAAAATATATTAATTTTAATCGAATTTTCGAATTACTTATTTCATTTTCACATGTTATTATGTTTACCTCCATTACTCTGATAAGTTACCATCCTTATTACTATTTGACAGATTTATACATTCACCTTCCTCATCCATAACAGAAACATTCTGGAAATGAAATAACCTATACTAAATATACGACGCACCTCAGTAGCCTGTACTAAATATATGCAACTAAAAGGGTGTCTTGAAAACTAAGACCTCTAAAGATAAGACCCCTAAGACCCACAAAACTTGAAAACTAAGACCCCGGATTTTATTAAAATACAAACTTACCTGAAATTTTGACGTATAATATTTGGGAATATTTTTTGAACAGATGAGAGTTCAGATACAGCTTTACAGGGAATATAAGGCCCGGTTTATATGAGAGGCGGGACGGAACGTTTGCCGGGACGGGACGATTTATACATCCCCGGATAACCTTTCGAACGGGGGGTCAAATGCCGTTATAACATTACACAAACCAAAACAACCGTGTATTTTACTCACCGCCCTGCCAAATATTCTCTATTTCATATTCAGAAAATCTTGAATATCTCTTGAACTCCTCGGAATTCCCCACAAGTCAATCCGAGTGAAATATTCCTTGTATTTATGGCGCTTTCGTGTGGAAAATTTCGTTTGAATACGGCCAGTAGAAATATATTTATTTTGATTTTTTCAAAATATCGGGTTTTTAACGGTTTTTACTCGCACGCGCCCGCCACACTAAAGTTGGCCAACAAACAGCACCCGTAGCCCGATGCACGTGCAAATTACGCTGCAGGTGTAATATCACCTTTAGAATCGATTTCCGACGTTTCCCGAGCGATAGTATTTAAACAACGCAACGTTTTGGCAGATCTAAAGTGTATTTCCGGTCGAACCGCCGTCGAAGCTCTCGCGTAAAATTTAGATATTTTGAAATTCCGAAATAAAAGATGCAAATCTGTTGATACAAGCTTGAAAATAACACTCTAAATAGTGTTTTGGATTGTGATTCTAACAAGACTATTATGAAAAAGATGTCTTGAAAGGGGCCGAAGTTATGTTAGGCGAAAGGTATGCCTCTGTGATACATTTTATTACATTCTTACATTTTTCGGGAATATTGTGTAATCTAGTGAAATATGACACTGCTTGCCCTCTAAAGGTCGTAAATCGCTACAAGTTGACATTTTATTATATCTATCGATAGGATTTTTTTCACTGAATCGAATGGTGTTATTTTCATCTATATAGCATGCACTGAACCGAAGATATGAACCTGCAAAATACCAGGTCGGTTTCGACCTGGTTATTTCAGCACCAAACGAAAAAGAGTTAATTATCTTATATTTAAACAAAAACTTTACTGAATGTGTAATTGTATTTTAATAAAATTCGGGGTCTTAGTTTTCAAGTTTTGTGGGTCTTAGGGGTCTTAGGGGTCTTATCTTTAGAGGTCTTAGTTTTCAAGACACCCCAACTAAAAATGTACCAAAAACTCAAAAAACGACACTAATATATATTCAAATATAACTCAAACTAAAATAATTTTTCCCATTACTATAATATATCATTTTCACAAATTATTATTTTTACCTTCATGACTCCAACAATCTTAAAAATGTGGTATGTTTTCCTGTTTTAAAAAGCACTTTTTATTTGTTAAATGAATAATTGATAAATCAAATATGGCCGCCAGTGAAGGAAGCCTGGTTACCTACGCAATTCATTCCAGTCTTATTCGTGATGTCATTCATTTCGGATATTCTACAACGCTACTTGAATTGTAATTTTCTGTTTTAGCATGTTAAAATGGCTTGATAAATACATTTTGAGGGTTATTTTTTCAAGGGTTTTCCAGCAAATTCAGACCAAAAATCCGTATTCTTTAGATCACGTGATTTGTCACGTGACACAATGATTACTTGCTCACATTTGTTCGAAAGCCCCGTGAAAGCGCATTCATACGAGATCTTTTTCGTGAGATTTGGTTAAAAGCCAACCAATCTGTGGCCCTCGCGGTACGTAGCCTCGCTCTGATATTATTCCGCCATATTGGGGCTAAAACCCCCCGATATCTCGACACCTATACCACAAATTGATAGTACAAAGTATCTCATGTTAAAACGCATATATTATTCTATAGGAATCAAGTGTCAAACCTTTTCTGTAAGGTGGGTTGTGCAAACTCCTTAAATAAGGCCGTTTATGAAAATAGCTCCCAGACTATTTGTCCAAAATGCCAAACGCTGCTGCCGCAACGGTTTTTCTTGAAAAGCTAAATGATTTACATCCAAACCTCAGTTTTACCATGGAGCTACCTGTTGAAAACAAAATTCTATTAGTTGGCATGGAGATAAGCAGAGATGGATCAAAAGTTAAAACCCAAGTGTATCGAAAATCTACCAACACTGGATTGCTTTTACACTTCAATAGTCATACAGATAAACGTTACAAAGAAGGCCTTCTTAAAACCATGGTACATCGCGCATATGCTCTTTCTTCTACCAGAGAAGCCCTTGATCAAGAATGTTCGCGATTGCGCTCTATTTTCACCCACCTTGATTATCCTACTGGTCTCATCGACTCTACTATCCAGAAGGTCATTAAGGATTCATCAAATAACGAGACACGGAATCGAGATACAGATGAAAGCAACGTTGTGAGATTCTGTCTCCCGTTTAAAGATCAAATCGCAGCAAATGCAGTCAGAAAACAAATGGTTGACCTGAGTCGAAAGATTGGTGTTCATCTGCAACCAGTGTTTACGAGCAGAAAATTGGAACAGCAATTAAAGCCGAGGGAAGTAAAAGTGCCAATTATCAATAGGCAATGCGTCGTGTACAAATTTCAATGTGATCTGTGTGATGCGGATAGTTATATCGGCTTTACAGGGCGTCATCTCCACCAACGCATTGCTGAACATAAGTTATCAACTATTGGTAAACACTTTTGCGAAGCCCATGGAAATAAGGATTTACTTAACGAAAGTCAGTTTCACGTGTTGAGGAAATGCCAGAACAAATCTGATTGTCTCGTCTATGAAATGCTTTACATAAAGGATAAACAACCCTCTTTAAATGTTCAACCTGGAAATTATTGAGGGTGAATTCATATACTTTTATTGGACCTAACCCGGAACAGCCGTGAAAAAATGCGACCACACCTGGCAGGAATCAATGGCAGTAGTGTGCATTTATCTAAACGAATACAATTCCCTGTAAGAGGCTAGAGCAATGTAGCGAAGAAGGAGTTGAATCTCTATGGATTTCAACGAGACCCTATTTTTGCCAAAGAATATAACATCGATATATAATACTGTCAGTAATATAGCATACGACCTCTAATCGCGAATCTGAGAATATTACTCTTCGACAACATATGCAAGGTAACTTGTCCTTGATAATCTATTAGCTAGTCGGCCAAATGCGCTTGCAATAATTACTGGCGACTTCAATCCTACGTCAACTGGATTTCAATCGAAAGATCTCAAACAAATCATCTCGAACAACTTGTCATTTTTAATACAAGGGATTCTGGTATTCTGCATGGATTGGTTCCCGACAAATCGGTCTAGGTTATTTCAGCCTCAGTTGCCTAAAATTGCATCCTCCGATCATTTTACAATACGGGCGAAACCAGTTCTAGGACCTAAGAACCAAGTAACTAAAAAAATTATCCCCGAGCCAACGGCGCGGAGCGCTGTTCCGGGCGTAAGCCCAGGCGAGGGTACTAATTCCCCCCGGCTATTTACACCCGGGGAAACGAAAGCATTAGCCAAGTCTAAAGTTCATCAATGAGCGCAGGCGTCGGTCACCAACGATGTTGAGTGAGTGGTCATCCTCACTGATCTCAAAAACATGGCTGATTGCTTGTAGGAGTGGGATGAGCAAGATTTCAATTTTAAAAGACATATATTTGGAAAATCGTTTCATACACAACAAGCTTGAAGCAATTTTGTTTGAAGAAATGAGAAGAATTAATTTACTATGGGAAATCGTGAAATATACGGTAAGTTTGCTTTGAATATTTAATGTTTAGTATGTTTACGAATTTTGTTGCTTTAAACTTTTTGCCTAAAAACTGTTTTCTTTTCAACGAAGCTCTAAGTTTCATAAATTACCGTTTAATTTGAGAAAAAAACTTAAAATGTAAAGGAGAACAAATTGATTTGAAGACTGTACTGAAATTACCTAACAAATTGTTTTATTTGTAACTTATTATGTTTTATTATTAGTTTATCGGCAAATGAACTATAGTTGAATGAACATTTCAAACCATTTTACGAAGCGTTTGAAGTTAAATTTTACATTAAATCAAAGCTCACAAAATGCAAAATAATATACATACAGTATATATTTCGGAAATTTATTGTTGTATACTGTAGTTAAAAGTACGAATCTTTAGTTGAAATAGTTGAAACTATTTTGCAGTTTTGTAAAAAAAATATGAAAAAATTAAAAACTTAAGAATATCGTGTTGTCATGGCAACACTTGAGCGCGAGCCTGCGTTCAGTGGGCCATTTCTGAATACTTCATGTTAATTTAATGTTTGGAAAATATTGGCAAGGGGTTGCTGCATGCATGTATTTCTAGTATCTCGTGATATGAGGGATAATGCCTGACGTGCGTTTGGTCGCTGGATAACCCAGAAAGATTGGAACCCAATCCTTACTACTCCATCCTGTGAAGATAAATACCAACTATTCATCACAGAGTTAAAGCAAGGTATCGATTGCTGTCCTGCACAAAGGACATTAAAAGTTCACCAAACAGATCGCCCATGCATGACTAATAAACTCAAAATATGGATCAGAAAACGCCAAACCGCATTCCAAAGACATGGCTAAAATTCATATATAAGAGAAATTAAATCGGCCAAGTCACAGTATTATACACATGAAGTTGCAGAATTGGGTCAGACTAATCCCCGGAAATGGTGGAAACAAAGTCTTATGGGACAAGACATTCAACAGGAGCAACCCTCGAAATTCGCCTCGGTACTCCGCAATTGCCCAGGCGAGTTACGATTTTCATAGTTTTGGCACATGCCCCCCCCCATTTTTACGGTCGGGCAATTGAGCAGAAATCCATGTGTCGTTCGGGCAAAACATATAACTCTCATCAAAGTTGATAAGAAGAATCGCGGTCTACAATGAATAATTAAATATAATAACTCCAATATTAATTGCTTTTAATATACTTTGCCATATATGAAGAACACCTGTATATGAATGATTATGGATTATGGTAAAGATTATGAAGATTGCAGAAACATTGACCATTGTTCTTAGTTTTTGTCTAAGTTTTTCTAGACATTTCGGTTAAACTTCTGCTAAAGTAGCCTTTAAACAATCATACTCATTTGTTTATAAAAGCGCATACAAAACCCAGCCCCCCTCCCCACACACACACACAGTCGACTCCCCCCTTGTGCCCACCACGAAATAACATATTGCCGGAAATGCAGGAAATGGCATTTCCGGCTTCAAATTTCAAACATTTTCTGGCAGGCTACTCCGTTTACTGTTCTAGAACATTTGGAACACTGTTCTGGAACGATATAAAATGGAGTGCACACGGTGTTCTGGAACAGTGTTTAGTTTATTATTTATGCGTGCAACCATGCATTACTATATTAATTATAGTTATTCGCATAATAAAGCTATAATGATTCGCCGTTATTTGTACATCTACGTATGCTTTTGCAACGTTTTTACTCGTTGATTTTGCTCAACCCTGGCGTTAAATAGCATATAATAAGTATATGTCGAAATATAGCGGTTAACCCCTCAAAATATCGCCTTATACAGTGTGAATTGGATATACAAAATATGTCGCCTCCATTTCCAATCACGTGAAAATAAGCAGTGTCACGTCACGTGTCTGTTCTGGCTGCCCCTACTAAAAAATCGGGGTAGTCAGAACAGTTCAGAACAGTCATGTGACTCTTTTTTGTTCCATTCCAATAGTGTTCCGAATATCCGGAGTATTCCGAACAGTAAATGGAACAGCTTGTGGGGGAGTATGCCCCCAGACTACCCTAGGGATGCATGCGTGGTATGTCGGACACATGGCTATCCCTCACTAATATATTATCTCACAGAAAGGTCGCTTTTCAAAAAATCCCCCCACCCCGGAAAAGTCCTTAAAAAAGGCCCTGATAAAATATCGAACAAGCAAACGTCTTGAACAAAGCAGTCGGGCAAACTAATACTGTGTCCTCCAAACAAAATTAGGCCCGTACGCCCATGGTTAAGACCTTAATCTGTTCGTTGTTTGCTTAAATTTACAAACAGCAGCGTCTGTTTGTTTTGGGTTTTTTACCTAAACCACTTTAATAAATTGAAATTCATACCTGTAGGTTAAAATTAGCACAGCCTATAGCTACAATGTTAGAAAATAATTGTAGGCAAGGAAAATTTCTAAATTAGGCGAATTCACTCCCTGTATGTCGCTGGATTCCATCATAACGTTCGATGTTATATCGATATCGTATCATCTACGCTCGATATACTGCCGACGTGAATGCCGAAGACTGCCGAAGGAATTTAAGGCGATTTCATTGTGCGCCTCGGCAAAAAAATGCCGAGGCAAACTCGAAAATTATCGAAAGACTTCGGCGGAAAAAATAGTTCAAATACGAGGGTTGAGGAGTGGCATTATCGATTTCTTGGTGACAATGGGAATGTTAAGATACTCACAGACAAAGTCAATGACTTCTTCTTGAGCACTAACTGAGAACTTTCCATCGTTATCGCCTTTTGCATGCTCAACTTCTGTAAGAGACTTTTATCACAGCTGACACGAAAAATTGACCCTCGCCAGTTAGCTCGCAAGGGCCACCCCACGACGGACGCGCTATTATTTTTACTTCAACCCGGTTTATGAGGCCCTCGATATAGCGGAAATGCTTGTGCTCGTTTCTTTTTTGCTCACTTTAGCAAAGGGTTCGACCGTATTCACCACCATGTTCTTATGCAGGAGGTGATAAAATTGGATATTCATCCTGTCTTACTTAATTGGATCAATGCTTTCCTTGCCAATAGAAAACAGGCTGTCAGAATAGGGGGAACTTTGTCAGATTAGAAATCCCGGAACGGTGGTGTACACTAGAGAACTAAACTTGGAGTTATTCTTTTCTCGGTTATGACAAATAAGCTAATATCTGATTGGCATTTAAGGACAAAGTTTGTCGATGACACAGCTGCGCTAGAGATTATTCCCAGGAACTCATTTAGTTATCTGAACAATAAGGTAGATGAATTACATCAATTCTCTTACAAGAGTCTCGACCCACTTAAATGCAGGGAGATGGTGACTAATTTTATGAATAATAACAACTCTATGATGAGGTCCTTTGTAATAGGCAGCAACGTAGTAGAAAGGGTAACCAATTATAAACTATTGGAGTTCAAATGAGTGAGGATCTTAAGTGGAATAAACATGTTCACTATACCTACAACAAAGCTTGTAATGCGTTGAGCAAAGGAATACTAAAAGTGTACATATTTAACTACTATCAGACCCGTTTTGGAAATTTGGAATATGATGTACTAATATGGCAAGCGATCCCTGACTATTTTATTAAAAGGCCAGAATCAATACAGAGAATGGCACTTCGAATCATTTTCCCTTCCATAGACAGTTATGATGAGGCGACGATTATGGCACAGATACCAACATTGGAGAGTAGACGTGAACAGTTATGTAAAAAATATATGATCCAATGAAGAAGGAAAATTATCCCCTGCTATGCTCCCAAAACCTAAGATGAGCGAATGCATGTATAGCCTACGAAGTGGATAAAACAATACTATTTTGTTTGAGAACACAATTAAATGCAGAACTTTAAGATCAGAACATTTTTTTATTTGCTGCGGAGCAAGCGAGCGAGCGAAACAGCAGTCTAATTTGTGCAGAGAGGCATCTGTTCATGCAGTACATTTTTCTAGCGCGTTGCATTGTGGTTGCGCTCAGCGGTTGTTCGCAGTACACATTTACCCGAATCCATGTGCTTTCATTCACTACACTACAGACTAGTAGATTAGTTTTGGTTCCTTGGTTTAATATACTGTGTATATAATGTGGTAAATGAGCCTATAGCGAAAACTTGTGTTATATAATAATAATAATTTAATAAATAATTTATTAATTTATAAAGCGCTAAAGAACTATAGACCTGTCTAAGCGCTAAAGCACTATAGTGTAAAGCGTTCAATCGATCACTATAGAGCTGTCTAACCTAAAGCGCTAAAGTACTATAGAGCTGTCTAACCTTGTCTCATTTATTGCCAAGATGACAAAAGGCTGATTTAACATGACTACTTTGAGTTCGTCGATATGCTTGGTTAAACTAGTAATGTTAAGCGGGCCAAGCGCGGCTTTTTTAAAGCCTTTTAATGACTTGACCTCAGAAATAAAACCTGTACTGGTTTTATCATTTTGACGCACTCTGGCTATTTTCATTCACATTTAAAATATGCTGCCTCGTTTCGTCGTTCGTCTCGCAAAAATCTTGTTAATTCTGATTTCTAAAATACAGTATTTACACTCGGCAAAGTCGTGCTGCTTTCGGGTTCCGCCGTGAATTGCGGTCAAACTTCACATCGCCCACACTGACCGTGGTGTAACCGCGGTCGATCCGAGGTTGAACCGTTTGAACGCGGTTTTTGTCAACTTAATATTTCTAGGCAGTACTGTAGCTATAATTTGCTTACAGTAATGTTTATTTCCCAAACCGGTTTGACATATTTTTACAAATGGCCAATCACATGCAAGATTCAAATTCTGAACCTAATCAAGTGTGGAGGTGGGATATACAACCGATGTGACCAAAGGCTCTTCCTTCTCACCTCTCGTTTCTTTCGCCTCGGAACCTCTGGAACCTGGGTATTCACGTGACAGAGACCATGGAAAAGTTCTGTTATGTCAACTGTAATACATCAATTTTTAGTTTGTTGCACACGTCCGTACCCAGCTGAAATTTGCAAGTTGTGGTCTTTTCTAAAAATATAAAAAGAAAACAAATTTGCTCTGTTGGCAACAACAACAACAATGTTAGAGATGAACAGAGTGTTCTAAAACATGCATGGCAACAAAACTCTACAATTTTATACGACATATCCTAAAAAATCACCCACTTGGCTTGAATAAATTCAATCCAAAACGTAAAAAGCTGCTTACAATGTCAATTATTGACAATGTGAAATGTATTTCGCTTGAAACTATCTGGGCCAAAACTTTCCATTACAATACTCCACACACTAGTAATGCTCTACTATTTCGCCCGAAAGATCATAAAAAATCACCGGCTAAGTCCGGCTTGGCTTGAATTTATTCAAGACTAGAGTATTGTTTGCATGTTTTGGATTGGATAAATTCAGGACAAGATTCCCATAACTTTGGCCTGGATATTTTCGAGCCAAGTACTTAAAACTAAGAGGGTGATTTTTTAGGAAATTTCGTGAAAAATTGTAGAGTATTGACTATCGTTGCCATGTTTAGGCTTGGATAAATTCAGGACAAAATTCCCATAATTTTCTTACATGTTGCTGTGTGATGTTACTCTGAGTGTATATCCACACCGGGCAGGCTTGAAAAATATGCCTGGCCACGGTGGGATTCGAACCTACGACCTTTGGACTAGTATTCCGATTTCATTTGCCTTTTTGTGTCCGCAGAAAGTTTGTCACCTCCATTAAGAGTAAAAGCAGCCAGGTAAACACATTCTTTTCGAAGTAGATCTGTCCAAGGTCCTTTACTGTGAAGCCATGGTTCCCATTTTTTGTTCCACGAACCCTTCCAATAATGAATTGTAAATTCTTTGTCCCTTTTTTCCAAAACTCCCGTGCGAGGGCACTAATTCCCCCCGGCTATTTACACCAGGAGGAAACGAAAACATTAGCGAAGTCTAAAGTTCATGAAATATCGCGGGCGTGGGTCACCAACCGTGGGTGGTCATCCTCACTGATCTCAAAAATATGGCGGACTGTCATGAATAGCGAACACTGTGATTGGTCCAATTTAAAGTTTGCATTATAACTACTGCATGACGACAGCGAAATAGCAAACATTTCTTTATTTGATGATTGATAAATTTCTTGCAAATATATTTCATTTTTGCTCGCATTTTTGCAAGATTTTGTAAATTTCAAGTAAGAAATGGCGAAAGAATCGGCTAAAAGAAGGGAGCCGACGTTAACGAAGGTAAGTTTGTTTTAAATATTGATTTTATAATTGCTTTAAAATCCGACGGCCTTTGCGTATATGAAACAACTAAACAAGACAGCATATCGGGCCCTATTTCTGTGTATCTTTAATATTGATTCCCTTTTTTATTATATTGAATTTTTTTAAATAAAAAAGAAAGCAAAATTATTTGCATGCGAGAATTTGAAATCATTTTATTGCAAACTCAAAGTTTATTGATAAAGCCATTTAATTAAAGAATAAAGGCAGTTTAGTTTTATACTTTAAAACATTTTGCGAAGCGTTTGTGGTTGAATTTTACCTTAAACTGAAGCTTATATTACGTATAATATCATACCTAACATATATATGTTGGCAGGGCATTTTTTAACTATATAACTGGGGGGGCCAAAGCCCCCCCAACCCCCATGGTGGCCCCCCACTCAACCATTTTGCCCCCCCCCCAGTCAAAGTCCCTTTTCTCTAAAATATAAGCAAAACATGGAATTTAGAAGGGAGGTTTGATATTCTAGTAACTGAAATTTGCTTTGTGAATCTTATGTCATTTCTTTTATCTTTAAGGCTAAACATTGTGTTGTAAATACCTTAGTAGATTTTAAACATTTTCCACTGGATTGCATTTCTCCGACCATATAGATTTGAGTTGTTGCAAGGCTCGGCTAAACAAGTTAGTGACGCAGGGGGCAACGGGCCACCAACCCAGTGTTTCATAAGGGGGAGGGGAATAATTTTGGCCCCCCACCAAAAAAACCCAATTGATTTCGAAACTAGAAGTATTTGAAATCGAATATTCGTATATATACCGGGTGGCGCAAAAAAAAGTTCACGCGTTTGATTTAGTACAGCGAAAAAACTATAAGTGTTACGTTCCTCAAATAAATGTTATCCTATCCAGGAAGGCCTAACTTAAATTTTGATGTATAACACATGCATATTTGTTTTGTATTACCCAAGATATTGGTAAATCAATTTGACTATGCAATTTCAAAAGGTTCCAAAATTAGCTGAAAATAGCCTATTAAATACGAGTAAAGGAATTAACGATATATGAAGAACACAACGGCAGTAAATAACGCGTTTATCATGGAAAATTAAATAACTATATTCTTGCACGTGTGACCATACTATCGAACGAACGTTGGATTTATTTGCTGGTCAAAGTTATGGCAATCAGCAATAATCGCTTCACGAAGCTGTCTCAAATTGTTCGGTTGTTGATCTAATTTAATTCCCTATAACTATGGGACATGGAATACTGCGAAGCAATTCTTAATTAAAAGAGCCATCTTTTTCGAAATTTTGTTGCTTTTCAAATGATAATAAAACAAATAAATAACTAAGGAAAATCATTCGTTACACGTTTCAATTCAAATTAAATAATTCATACAAGCGAATATGTCTGACGAAATTCTAAAATTTATCAAAACAGTTTAATAGGCCATTTTTAGCCAATTTGTCGGATTTTCAAAACTTCGTTCCAAATTTTATTTGGCGATATCCCAGTCAATATTGCACGTAAATAAACATGCTATAGCTCAAAATTTAAGTTAGACGTTTATGAATACAGCTACGTTTATTTCAGCGATGTAACACTTATAGTTTTTTCGCTGTACTAAATCAAACGCGTGAACTTTTTTTTGCGCCACCCGGTATATAATCAAATATCTATAAATGATATTTTGATAAAAACATTTCTCGTAATAATCCATCCTGACTCGCGGATAGCATAGACTCCCAAACCACAATGAACAAATTAATGAAAGGGCCTAACAAAAGAGGTAGAGAAGACTTTGAAAATGCCATTTCCGACGATTTAGAGACGCACAATTTTCAAAATTCTTCCGCTCTGTGCCAACCATGGTGGCGCTTCGTGAGAGTCAGGCCCTCTAAATTTATCAATCTGGCTCCCTGAGTGACGGCCAAGTTGTGGTACATAAGCATACTATGCAAGTACTTAACTGAAGGTTCATGAGTCTATCTACAGCATAATGTAATGCTGTATATCCAAAAATCTGTTTCAGGAAATGCAGGGAATTGCAGTCATAGGGGTAGAAAAATACAAACATTTTCTGGGGGAGAATACCCCCAAGCCCCCCTCCCCCTACTAGTAAATGCAATGCCACACGAAACTTTTTGTTACCAACAAACCATCTAACATTTCTCCACACTCGGTATAGTATGGTCCCTTTTTGTAGATGGCCCCCCCACTGACGAATTCTTAAAAAATACTCTGTATGTTGGGAAGCGATTTTTCATTTGTAAGAATATTCTTAAGAAATTATCGTGTTACCATGACAACTACTTTAGATACTTCATGTTCGGAAAATACAATGGTTTTGTCAGCAAGGCGAGGGTTTCTGCATGCATGTATTTTCTAGTAGTTTTCCAGGTTAACCGCAACAAGCGACTCGACGAGAACATGGTTCCATACATTGTCTACAGTAGTAACTGTTGTTCTTTTGCGGTATGATCCAACATATATAGACCTAAAATATTAAAAAAATAGTCGAGTTAATTATAGGAAGAATACAACACGATTCTTCCGTTTTGGCTTGATTTAAATTTTCTACATTTCACATTGAGCTGCCACAATCTTCGGCACATCGTCAGGAACACCTGATTGAATTTCGTTTCCGTCTTCTTCATCTCTTGTCTCCTGGTCATTGGTGATGATGCAGTTGGCTTTCTTCTGCTTCAAGTCATTCAGTAACCATGTATTAGGTTTAGGTGGCGCAGGCCCGCAGACCTTTTGTTCATTCGAAAACCAGCGGTGCCACCACTCACGCTGCTCCTGTGTTATTACCCTGGGATTATCCAGAAACTTGGGAATGTCTATTCCAAATCGACTTTGTCAGGCGATGACGGCACGAGGTTGGGAACTGTAGTTGGTACATCCACATTCTAAATTACAAAGAACGAAGTTCGCAGTCAGCAAAATCTTCCCTGACACAATACAAATATATTCCTTGGAAAATCGTTTTATACAGTGTACTGAAAAATCGGATAAAACAGGGGAAAATACAAATTATAGTACTATCAACAGTACATTCCTCCGGAAAGTATTCAGCCGTGAGGCCCGTGACTATAAGGCCTTGCTTCCGTAAATGACCTGTAGCTCTAGACACAGTATGTGAATTACAAAAGAGAGGTTCCATATAGCTAAGGTTGTTGTGCGCTTGCATGGTTTGACAAATCAAACAATGCAAACAAAACGACTGTTTTTTCTTAATGCAAACCCGTAATAAGAATGAGTTACAGATAGTAGATCATAGCCAATCAACGTTCAGAATTTACAGCTATATTATAAAAAAAATGTTGACCAGTATACAATAACAACAGCATTGTTATAAGCTTGTGGAGTCATAGGCCCGTATTCTAAAAGCTCACTCACACTCAATGAGTGGATGTTCAATTTGAGCTTCTCTTGAGTGCTAATGCCATTTTTGAATAACTGGAGGGCGAGTAGTCACCGAGTAAGTTATGACACTAGCCCTCCGGCTATTCAAAAACAGCATTAACACTCAAGAGAAGCTCAAATTGAACCTCCGCTCATTGAGTGTGAGTGAGCTTTTTGAATACGGGCGATACTGTACAATATGTTCGCATTAAAATGATAATTTTTCATTTGGATATTAATTAACCTACGGTACTTATTTTTTTTTGTTATAAGATACCGTCAAAGTGCTTACACACATTAACTGAGCCACGTAAAGCATATTTGGTAAGATCGCTTGACCTGCTGTTTGTCGATTCGCTCAAGAATGAAATCTTGGAACGTCAGTGCAACTTTTCGAAGCCTCTGATTGCTATTGTGAAGGGCATTAAATCAAAGGAACAGCTTGAAGAAAAGGATCTTGATGGGTATGCGCTGGAAGTTATTGGAGGAAACCATCATGATCGGCGTGAAGCAATTCAACAGCTACACAAAGAGGGGAAACTGGACAAGAATGTCCATAAATATGCCATGGTTCAACTTTTTGTTGGTATGTTCAATTTCGATATTTGCAAAGTTAGTAAAAAAGCATTTATTTAATTAATATCATACCGGTATTTGATATCTGATATGAAGAAGAATATGCTCTGAAATGTTCATGATATAGTGGTAAAAATAGATATTAAAATACAAGTCCCTGCTTTATTGCACAAATGCCTGAAAGAGATGCCTTACGACTGGCACAGCTTCAGAACAGAGTAGACTCGATTCATCATGATATGAGTACGAGTGACAAGGTATTTATTTATATTGTAGTGTGTTTTTTTTCAATAAACAATTCTAATTTTTTGTTTAATTATCTTTCTGACTTTCTATAACCCACCATGATAATAAAGATTGAACTCTGTGCGAACCTATTATCACAACACTTTAATGGGAAAAAATGTGTGGATTGGCGAAAGACATGTTGTACCATAATTGGTGAAAATGTGAGTTAATAAGTATAAGTATTGTATAGTATTTTGTTAGATTTATATATTAAACCTATGGCAGTCATTGATAGTATGAAATTAGAGATTGATAGAGATTCAACTAGTACCTAAAAATATAAACAGATCTTCAACGTTTCGCCTACCAACTTCCCAATAAAGGTATTTCGCTCAATGTGTTGAAGTTCTGCTTATATTTTTGAGATATTTGCATCTCTACCCATCTGCAGAGTTCCTGTTATCGGGTCTACCTACACTTGCTCAGATTGTCGGTGCAAATCTGCAATATTAACAGTTGAAATTGTATTACAGCTTATTTTATTGATTTCTGTCATTATGACTTTACTAGTAAAGGAAAGACTGGTAGCCAAAGGCGGATTTTCATTTTTTTTAAAGGAGGGGTGGAAATATTTCTAGTGGGGGTGCAAACGGCACTACTGAGCGGGCTTTTTACAGGGGTTAGGCATTAGGGTTAAAGACTTTCACATATTTTTCAAGCTTGTCCAGTATGGATATACACTCAGAGTAACATCACAAAACATCATACCCACTACTCGTTTTACAGGAACTGCTCTTTATCTTTCCCTTTTGCAATAGGCTAGTCACTCCAGTAGGTCAGTCTCAATCAATACTGTATGCCCTTTTTTGTGCAAATAAGGATAAAAAAGTTATTGTAAGCTCCATTCAATGATTTCAGGAAGCAACATTATCAAATGTCCTCTACGTATCTAGTGAATTTGGACAGGAACTTCTGAACGAAATCCAGGAGATGATTGCCAAGTTTGGGAAGGCCGAATTAACGGGACAAAGGGTCTCCACAAAAATTCTAAAACAAAGACATTCTGCCGTCGTACAAAAAATCGATTTTCAACCATCAAATTTGAAGATGTTTCGAGGTGAAGTGACGAGTGTGGAACTACTGAAACTACTCAAAGACGTCAACGCGAATACATTGTCCTTATCCGAACTGCAATCAAAAGTGTCGAGATTAAAAGAAATGAGAGCTGTGCAAAATGTTTTTGTTAAGCTCTCATGTTCTTCATCTGGGGAAGAAGCAGTGAGAAGGTAGGCATGTTCATAGTAATTTCGCTAATATTCCAAGTTGTTTTTTTTTCAGGTTCCCTCGTAACAATTAAGTGTATACATACGTTAGTCCAACGCAAAATACGACACTTTAAGAGTTCTTATAGATAATCCTCTTGTAATCCAAATTGTTGCAGGTTACCTTCATAAGGTCAAAACATCTATGATCGTTCCGATATTTGACGATTTTCAGTTTCAACTGTGAATGAACGTTTTGATTGTTTCAGGTTCCCTGACTTTACTAAAGAAGGATGTCTTCATATTTTTCGTGGACCGGTGTTACGAGGGCATGCACAAGACAACCTAAAGTCGTATATTCAAAGAGCGGTCGCAAGCGAAGGGATGGACGAAGCTGTTCCCTGCGAAGTTAAAGTGATTAAAATGGATTGCCGTAAAGATCTGTCATTGTTAGATACGTCGAAGTTTGGGGGTGCAGAGATAATTTTCCTTGATCTACCTAAGGTAAATGATTTCCACAAGTTAGCACCGATTTCAAGCCATAGCTATAGTGTTAATTCAATTATCCAATATTTAAAGATTGCTACCCAGTGTGTAAGTGAAGGACCTTGAATGAGTAATAAAAAGTTTGATGATTCAGTACGTGATTTACTGAGAGGTTTTCATGTTGTAGATATTGGATGTCTCGCAATATCTTCGCTGAATTGTCCATTGTCTTTCTCTTGTTTGTTGGGTTATTGCATCCTTTTGTCCTAATTTTCTGACCAAAGGACATTAATGCACAGTGCGATTTGCTTCTATTAAATTTTTTCTGCATTTATTAGACTTGGACTGAGGAAGATGTGACAAAATTCATTCGCACAATGAAAAGCATAAATTTTAGAAAAAGTGTTACAGAATGCCGATTTGTGTTGTTTCCAACCTCCTCCCCAAATGATGTCATGCTGCAACAACTGGATGTCGCCAAGTGCGCACTTGCAGCACTGAAGATTGATTGGGATATGGGATATTTCCATAACCCAAGTTGTGCTGCCAAAGGTTTGTTTAACTACTAATATCGTTATTTAAGCTAACAGTAGAGTGTATCTTCAGTGCTCCCACTGTGGATTTGACCGGTTTTAATATATACTACCTTTTTCCTCCCGTAGAAATTGTTTCATTATCCAAGACAGTGGTGCCGTTCATGGTCACCAGAATGTCCAAAACGTCCCGCATGTTAACGGTGAATGATCTTTTCAGTGTTGATGGTGAGCAAATGGTGAAAGAGAAAGATACTGGCGAAGTATATACGAACGTCAGAAGCCGGTAAAACTATATTCTTCTTTATTAGAATTGTTTATTCCGGACAAATCTCTACATGTCTTGGATGCATGTAGTGGGGCAGGATCATGTGCTGTTGCATGCAATGCCGCCCAATATAAGTGTCTGGTATTGGAACTCTTATTTACCAAGTGCGGACTTATTGAGCAAAGACTCAAGTGTTGAGAGTGTCCCAAAAGTCATAACTAATTATTTACAGTAGTAAGAGTAAATTTATTAAAGAGGCGGTTAAGTTAAGTCCGTTCTGTCCATGTGCTATGTGACGGCCTTCTGATGTAAACAATACTCAAACTTTGCATTATTTTGAGTTTTGACATATTCTGAATTGAAACTAAAAGCATAACGTAATAACGTATATTAACTAACTACATCATGAATATAGTGTGCTCCGTTTGGCAGATTTGTGGTTTGTTTACATTTTGACTTAAAGGACAATGGCAACAAAAAATTTTATTGGCTATTTCAATCCAGCTTGACGACCTAACTATGAAAATATTATCATTTCCTTCTCGAACATTTTAGTCTACGAGAAAAATGCATGCAAACTTTGTGTTTCGCCGCCATCTTGGAAAATATTTTTGGAAAATTATCTCGAACTTTGTGACGTTATTAGATGGGTAGCACTAAAACTACAAGAGAGAATTCTATTGCGTGCGTGTTATGTTAGCTAAAAATATGTCGTTTTTGAGCGTTACACTGGCAAACACTCTTCGCAATCAAACAAGAGAAGTCTACATTATCAGATAAAAACATATCGAGCGACTGGGAAAGCAAGGAATGTCAAAGTGCACTACGCGTGATGATACTCGGTATTGTTTATAGTCATGAAATTGTGTTTACCCATCTAATGACGTCACATAATGTATGTTGTGGCATAAATTGACCACTTGCGTAATAGACTAAATTTTGATCTAGACAAAAATTTCATCACAGCTTGAAAGAGCATCACAAAATTAGTAATAGAGAGGTTAAGATACCCCGGTTTCGGTGTACGGGTACGAGTAACATGATTTTGGTTAGCAACATTTTCGTCGATGTCTGTACCTTTACTCGTAATTAAGGTCACATTTTTCGCATTATATCATTGTCTATTGCAAGAAAGCAGAAAAAGTATGATCGAATTACAGACATCAGTAAAACAAGATGACACTACTCGTACCCGTACACCGAAACCGGGGTATCTTAACCTCTCTAATATTACAAAGTTTCGTTGCGAAATGTTATAAAATGCGGATAATATAGCCTTGCGAAGTTTGCAATTTTCAGTCATTTTAGATTACTAACGGGAAATTGACAGCCCAATACCCTTTGAGGCTGTCAATTTCCCGTTTGTAATCTAAAATGACTGAAAATTGCAAACTTCGCAAGGCTATATTCGCATTTTACAACATTTCGCAACGAAACTTTGGAATATTACTAATTTTGTGATGCTCTTTCAAGCTATGATGAAATTTTTGTTTAGACTTGTTTAGATCAAAATTTAGTCTATTACGCAAATGGTCAATTAGCACACACGTTTATTTTCAAAATGGCGGACAACTGTTGAACTTTTTGTTAAATTTTCTCAACAACTAAACGCGACAAACCAGCAAAAATATGAAATGAAATATTCCATAAGTATACCTAATAGATATAAGTAATAAACATTTTGGTTGCCAATGTCCTTTAACTGCCTCTATAAGTTTATTACGTGAACAAATTAATATTGCATGTATCAAGTCCTGTTATAGATGTTGTTTCAATATTAATTAGTCAAAATTAAAATATTCAGATTTTCAACTTGTGTTTGATTCAAATAAGTTAAGGCAATCTCTAAATCTCTTCATGCCAACTGTTTTTTAATGTCTTTAATCTTTATTGCAAAAGTTTGGTTTGAATATATTCACGCGAAAAGATTGGTTTCAATATTTCACGCCAACGTTTTGCTTTGATTATTATTAGTTTGACACCGTGCAATTTGGTATGAATATTGTCACGCCATGATTTTCGTCTGAATATTTTCACTTCATATTTTAGTCTGAATATTTTCACGCCAAAATTTTGGTCTGAATATTTTCACGCCATATTTTTTGATCTGGATATTCTCACCCCAAATTTTGGTCTGAATATTTTCACGCCAATATTTTGGTCTGAATGTATTCATGCCATAATTTTGGTCGGATTATTTTCACGCTAAAACTTTGGTCTGAATATGTTCACGCCAAAATTTTGGTCTGAATATTTTCACGCCATATTTTTTGGTCTGGATATTCTCACGCCAAAATTTTGGTCTGAATATTTTCACGCCAATATTTTGGTCTGAATATATTCATGCCATAATTTTGGTCGGATTATTTTCACGCTAAAACTTTGGTCTGAATGTTTTCACGCCAATATTTTTTGGTCTGCATATTCCCACGCCAAAATTTTGGTCTGAATATTTTCACGCCAATATTTTGGTCTGAATATGAGATATACTATTGCTCGAGTCAGGATTCGAGCCAGGACTCGAGCCATGCGAAAATACGGGGAATTGCCATTACCCAATGGTTTTGTTTCATAAGACACGCTACGCAGGCTAGCTAAATGTTCTACTACTAGCAAATTAAATACAACCTTTCAATAAGTTACGCTAATCACCTTGTGTAATTTACCAATGAGAGCGAGGTTCCAAGACCAAAAAGTATGTGTAATTATCGAAAGGGTGTATTTGGTAATACAGTTAGCCAGCGTGGCCGGCTCTTCTATAATACAGTTTGGTGATATTGGCGTCTATTACAGGAAAATAAGGCAGGGAGAATTATCCTACTCTTTGACGAATGCTAAGCGGCAATGAGCGGCAACAGGTATCGATATCTGTTTTGTAAAGAGCGAGAGACTGCTAGTGATGGGCAATACCAACTGTTTTAGTTCGATAAAATACTGGCCGGATATTTCCCTTTTTTGGATATCGATATTTGTGCAATATATCAAAGACAAACAACAACAATGGTATTGACTATTGTTTCATTCACTGTCTTCCGACGCTAATAACCGTTACAGTTAGGGGCCGATTACATGGAGCATTTTCAACCCCGGGGTTGAACTCAGCCCTGTTTACCGGGTTGAAATTTCAGTCCTGTCTGTAATACAAAACTCTATCAAAATCAAACGCGCGATTACATGACAAAATTTTCAACCCAGGGCTGAGTTCAACCCTGGGGTTGAAATTTCAACCCTGCTTCAGCTAGCAGGGTTGAAATTTCAACCCCGGGGTTGAACTCAGCCCTGGGCTGAAAATTTTGTCATGTAAGGGCTGAAATTATCATGAGTTATTCGAGCATGCGTGGTAGTGACTATTTATTACAAAAAAATAAAATAAAGGCTTTTTACTTCCGCGAATCGATGCCGAGAACGTATAGTATAACGTTTTAACCCCGGGGTTGAAATCGTCCAATGTAATCGCAAAAAATTTCAACCCGTTTAACAGGGCTGAGTTCAACCCTGGGGTTGAAAATGCTCCATGGAATCGGCCCCTTAATAGCCAAAGTCAGATGAGATCGACAGCTCTGTATGTACAAACATACCAAATATCAACTTTCGTTCTTTAGTTTCTTTTATCGAATCTGGCCGGAAAAGGCGGGAAATTGATTTGTTAAACAAGTTCTCTCACTTCCCATTTGCCAAACATTCCTTAGGTTATCGATAAACAATTCCTCAGATTCAGTTAAATTTCCTTATAAATTTCGCATTGTTGGTGAATGAATAATCTAAATTTAAGGAAAGTTCCTTAAAAGTGAGAACGCTGTTGGTAAATTCTCCTCCATCAAAATCACTTGACGTCATTTTTGGCTCGAGTCCTGAATCGAGTTCTGGCTCGAGTCCTAGCTCGAGTCTTGGCTCGAGTCCTGGCTCGAATCCTGACTCGATGTTTAGGTACCCTCGAGCAGGGTTGGATGAAAATTGGATGAGAAATTTGCCGGGCAGAGTCCAATGCGTAATTATCTCATTGTATAATTTGTGAATAATACATTGGGGGGGGGGGCTTATATTTAGAATGAGGTGAGCGTTAGTATATGTGGCGGGCTTATATTCGGGGAGGGGGTTATATTTGGGGGCTTATAGTCGGTGGCTTACGGTATTATTATCTTGATTGACCGGTTATTATACTGATTTTAGCCGCGACGTGGTTGGATGAAGCTTTCTATCTTGTGAGCAAAGATATAGTGGAATCATACCTTAGCCGGCGAGATACTTTAGTATGCCATGTTTGGGAGAGTCAGGCCATTGGATATTGGACAAAAAATATTTCGGATCTAACTACATTTGCAGACAACAAGAGACTTTTACATATGCAAACAGGATTTAGTTCAGAACAGAAAGTGTTGAAAAGGACAGCGATTTGCCATTCAGTTCTTGCCATTCATAAAAGTTATCCTGAAAAGATGAGACTGTTTTGGAGTATTTATGAGAAAGAGGACAAGCCCGTTGCATACCAGGAAGTTAAAATTTCTTATGGCTGTAGATATCCACTTGCGATGGATTACAGGACATGGGGTAAAAAGTCAATTTGGTTTTCTGAACCGAAGTTATGCAAAGACAACCCAATATGGGACCGAAATGGAGAATACAAAGGACGTCAGGGACATTGATCTCTTTTGTATCAAGGCCCTCACGTAGAGAATAGGTTATCCCAAGTTGTTGTAGAGTAAATCAGTTTGTTGTGAATTATCCCAAGTTATTGTAGAGTGTATCAATCAGTAAGCCAAAATGTAACCAGTTACAGTCATATCTCTTTTCAAAACTTAACTATAGTTGCCGTTACAGTTGAAAAGTAACCATTACTTGTAATTTCGTCACTTCAAATCAAATAATTTTTTTCAGCTACAAAATAATTACAGGAAAAATATACAGAGAGAGAGAGAGAGTTAATGGCAAGGTAGCCCAAGTGAACCCAATAGGCTTATAGGCCCTTATAATATTGAGCTCCTTTATGTTACAATATTAATCTATTTTTTATCTATTTTCAAAAAAAAAAGTATTATAATCAGGGGCGCCGGAACTATGTGAAGGCAAGGGGGGCAGATTTTCGTGAAAGGGCACTTTTGAATTGATATATACTAAGAGATGTTTACAAAACATTGGGAGTTGAACTTCGCCTATAATCATGTTTTCTATTTTCTAATACACAAACCGAAAACAGGGAGTTAAATTTCAATCCAGAGTTAGCCCAAATCCAGCTTTGACCCCCAGGGTGTTTTCAGATTGTGAAAGACAATATAGCCTATTATAGAAATCATATTTCTAAAGAACGACACATAAACAATGATAAATTTTATTTCAAACAACGTGTTCATATTAAGTAGATAATGAATTTTAAAAGTTGTAAAATTAGTTACATTTCACAATTTTTAATGTTCTGCAGTCTACTGCATGGATAGGCTTAAAGTTCACCAGATCTGCTACTCGCTCTTGTTTTAGCGTGAACTATCATCAACTCTCATTAGCTTCAAGCAAGTTCAAATTTTGATCACAACTGGACAGAAATAAACAAACGTAAAGGGAAATGGCAATACCTTTCCTCCGTTTGAAAGACTGATTCAACACATTTCAAAATCTTGTCACAGATTTTTTTATCGTTTTTGGTATAAAAGATATTGCACTTCATTTCATTTCATTTCAAACAAAATACTTAACATGCATTCCGCCATCTTGGATATGCGTACCCATCGTCGGATATGCGTGACGTCACAACCGGGGTAACATCACTTTGTATCAGTTGAGCAATTCTCGGGTCATTTTAATGCTATGTAATTGCTATAATACCGTCTAATTTAATTAATAGCTCAAGCTATGTATAAGAATTCCACTGATATATTTCTTAGTTTAAAACGTCTACCCTCAATCGCCCACAAAATATTTGAGACAAACCCCCTCCCCCGATTTCAATGTTGTTAGGCACTACAATATAGTTTAATTCCAACATCATATGTTAAATTTCAACTGCCAGTGACACAGTTGCGGTGCTAGTGTCACCTTATGTTCGTTTTGGACAAGTACAGTAGGTTTCAACATTGAAATAAGGGGCGAGGGGATTGATTTAAAAAGTCTCAATATATTTTGTGGACGATTGCTGGTTGTGGCATCATTAAATTAGCCTTTCTCACGCAGGCCAAAATCCACCATTTTGGGGTGCGGTCTGCCCTCGTGAAAGTTTCTAGACAGTTCAGACAACGCAAAAAGCGACTTTTAAAAGTTGTTACCGTAAAAAATGTACCATTACACAAACTCTCAAACGTGAGAGAGGCAGTACCCCAAAAATGGCGGGAAAATCGGACGTGAGAAAGACTAATTAGATCTAATTATAAAACAAGATGGAGGATATCAGAATGTTTTGGATTTAAATATTTCAAAAATTAAGATAGTTTGGGAATATTTGAAAAAAAAGATTTGTAATCTCAACGTTCTTTCAAATCAGACAAATATAAGTTCTTTGTAGGATTGCATGGCGATAAAACATAATACTTTTTGTTTGTGGAAAAACCACGTAAATTTACGTGGTGTTTCCACAAAGGAAGAGTATTATGTGAGCCAAATATAATTTTTGTTGCCATTTTCCTTTAAGGAATGCTTAATCTAGTACAGAGCAGTGACCTAAACTCATAGATTCAAGTACATTGAATAAGGGAAAAACAAATTTAAACTGCTTTCAAGCTTGAGATCTAGACGATCGAGCTTCTCATAAAAAATTGTTAAACCTCACGTCTCCGTTCTGTATTATACATTGAACATTTCTTGACTTGTTACATGAAGTTTCGCACACGTTAAAAGGAATAAGGTTTAAAATAGAATTATTTACGTTTATACATTCAAGCTAAAACATGCATATAACCATTATTTGCATCTCACTAGAATCTATATTTCTCTTAAAAAACTCTTAATTAATTAGCACTAGTCAATAGATCTAGGTAATAAAAAACCCAAATGACATCGAAAGTATTAAATTGCACACTTCAATGACATTGGCAAACTCACTGATCTAAAACAAGCAATGGATTGATCATGCTTTTCAAATCAATGATTTTGAAGTCAGAATTTTTTTAATGAGAAGAGATTTTAATAAATGGTAAAACTTTTTACAAATTGAACGGTAAGGTGTTTAAAATAGCTTTTATATCCAAAAAATGTTCTTTCTTATGAAAGTTGAAAGATATGGCTTTCCACGCTTCTTCTAATGAGTTTTAGAACGTTTGAAACATTAGATAATAGTGAGCTTAAGCAAGTGACGTTTTTGACAACACGAACGGCATGAGTAACGTCAGAAGACTGGGTCAAGGGCTGTGATTGGTGAAAAACGTCAAC